TCACATCCTATGCAAGTTCATCATTATGCAACAATTCGAGTACTCAAGTATCTCAAAGGTGCTCCTGCCAAGGGTTTGTTCTATTCATCTTCCTCTCCACTCAAACTTTCTGGCTTCGCAGATTCAGATTGGGCAAGTTGCCCTGCTACCCGCAGATCCGTAACTGGATATTGTGTGTTCCTTGGCAATTCCCTCATATCCTGGAAATCCAAAAAGCAGTCTACAGTATCCAAATCAAGTTCAGAAGCAGAATACAGGGCCTTGGCAAGCTTGACTTGTGAATTGCAATGGCTGCAGTATTTGTTCAAGGATCTCCACATCTCCTTTGATCAACCTAGCTCAGTCTATTGTGACAACAAAAGTGCTATCTACCTTGCTCACAATTCCACCTTTCATGAACGGACAAAACATATCGAAATTGACTGCCACGTCATTCGTGAGAAAATCCAAACTGGTCTCATCCACATTTTACCAGTTTCTTCTGCTGTTCAATTGGCAGATGTTCTCACCAAGTCTTTGGCAGCGCCCTCTTTCGATTCTCTTGTTTCCAAGCTTGGTCTATTAGACATCCATAGTTCAGCTTGTGGGGGGCTATTACATGATGAAAAGAATATTGTTTAGTTAGTTACTTTACAGTTTTAGTTTGTTATGATTCTGTTAGTTTGTTACAAACAGTTTGTTACTAAAACAGTATATATAATACTGTTTTGTACCATTCCAATACAAGAGAATACAATCAGTTTATTCTAAAATCCACAAATTTATCGTTATGTAGGAATATAAAGAATAATTTATTCCCACAACTTTTAGATTGTGGGTGCTAGAATATTAATATTTATCGCATTGGAGATTTGTGTTTGTACAGCGTGGTGCTGTAAGAGAAAGCCAAAAGATAAAAACTCTCAGAAGCTTGATGTGGAGGCTTTTCCAATTACTTTGAATAAACCTACTCACAACAACTTTGTTATCCAAGCAACTAATCAAGATCGACAAGGTAGTTTTAATTCATCTATCAAAGGTTTTTTCTTAAAATATTCGTTCCATAGTATCTTGCCGAACTTCATTTTTTATTCCAAATAATGCAGTTGAGAAAATATCACGTTTCAATGAGGTACCAAATAGAAGGAACAAATTCGGTTCCAAAGGTTCAGGATGAACAAGATTGATATGTCAACACTGTATATTCAACTTCATAATACAATAATGTTTCCAAACCTTCACTCCTACAGCCACCGCCACCATCACATCCTCTACCGATAGTTCCCATTGAGAAGGTCATTGTCAATTCTGCAGTAACTACCAATGTCAATGAATGAAAAATTATGACAAGTTATGTCAAAATGTATAATGTTTCATCACTTCAGCAATATACAAATAGTTTTTCACAAGAATATCTTATGGGTGAAGGCACTCTCGAATCTCTTGATAGAGTCAAGCTCTCTAATGGGAAGATATTATCCATCAAGTTAATAAGCTATATACCGCTTTATGATTCTCAAATCTTTATGTACAATCTTTAACCTTTTCACGACTTCACTTGGTTTCTTGGCGCTTCATATGGTTATATCTTTTGAATTATATCTGTAGCTATCGACGGTGAAGAAACTAGACACTACAGCTTTCAAGGACTAGACCGATAAATAGTTTCTTCAATTGGTATACAGTATCTCGAAAATCCAACATGTCAATATTGCAAATCTTGTGGGCTACTGCGCTGAGTATAACCAATAATTACTTATATACAACTATTGCAATAATGGAACCCTACAAAACGCACTTCACGGTGATGACGAATATTGTATTAAATTTCCATGGAATGAACACATTAAGGTCGCACTTGGTGCTGTAAGGGATTTAGAGTGAGTTTAGTGGTCAACTCAATATCTAATTCCGTTTTATATTAACAATTGATTCAATTTTCCATTCTGAGCAGGTCTGATATTGTTGATTAACTTTATTTCGTTTCACACACAATTTCAGAGCAATCATGAAAAAGGTATGCACATGTTATCAAAGTTATTCAGCAGCAATTCACCACCATGTTTAACATTACCGACATACGTCCCTCATACAATAATCTGCCAGACACTTAAACTGCCATGCAATAGTTTTGAATTAACATATTGTTGTATTGCATTAATCATGTGCATAATAAATCTGCCACACTTGGTGTCATACATACTTCTATGTTTATTGGAGCCAACAACATAAACCTTATGCTGCAGTAAATTAATAACAGAGATTCTGCTATACTAATGACTTCACAATGATTCAAAATAGTGATTCTACAATGATTTTGCAATGCTGTAAATGTTATGGATACCTTAAGGAGACTTAGCCACGAAATGATGCTTATTTAGAAGTAGCAATGGTAAGATGGTATTTAACCACTTCATTCATTATTGGTCTTTCCTCTAATTCTTATTTGTAAATATAAAAACATTTTGTATGTTACAGGTAACAGTTATCTCCTTAGGTCTAATAGTTACAAAATCCAAGGATTCAAGAGTGCTCAAATTATCAGTTTAAGTGTGGATGAAATCAAAGGACAAAGTACTCTCTTGATCAAAAATAAAATAGCTTTTTAGATATGCTTTGACAGTGTTGTTTCATTTATAGATCACAAGTTCAAATGTGTGAGAAAATCTATGTTGGATAATGAACATTTTGTTTAGTAGGTTATAATAAAATTAATCTTTCTATCTCTCTTTGTAATGTGTTTAATGATATATCGTGTTCTTTTATGTATAAACTAATTTTTCACGTTAGACTAATTTAGTACTGATTTTGCTTTAGAGAAAATTTGTTACATATGTGTGTATTCTCAATCAAACTAATTTTAAATTGAAGACAAAGTATATGATAAAATGAGATAAGTGACAAGTAGCATAGCTTACAATGTTTATGTATACCATGTTAAGATATAAGTTTCTTTCCTTCTTTATTTTTGTTTTATTTTATAAGGGTTTTGTATTAACCATATGATATACAATAAAAAAAGTTAATAATGTCCACACTTAAAAGTAAAAAATTTATTTTATAAGGGTTTTGTATTAACCATATGATATACAATAAAAAAGTTAATAATCTCCACACTTAAAAGTAAAAAAGGACTGCAACTTTGATGGACTTAAAAATCAGCACTACATGGGATTGTCTTCACTTAAACCAAAATTACAGCTAAATAATATGAAGTAGAGATTATATGCTTGACACTGACAGATGAGCTAATAGAACCATTAGTTCTTTATAATCTTAAAACATAAAAAGTAGATGAAAAAGATCTTGTGTTATATATAATGAGGACTTATAAACATATGATGAAATATAAGTCAATATTTTGAATTTTTTGAAAAAAATTTAAGTGGACGATAGTAACTAATAAGTTAAGGATTGCTTTAATATAAAAATTAATTAAAAACACCATAATAATATAGAAATGTTTACATTTAAAAAATACTCTACTACGCCTTTTCAAAAAGGTGTAGATATATTTTTAACATTCAAATTTTTTTTGAAAGTTAACTAATCTTAATAAATATTTGAAGTTTCATTCTATATGATGAAATTCTTCTTTAGTTAATTAATAACATAGTAATTAAAATTGTTAAACTCTATAAATTTAGTTGCTCAAATTAATAAATTTTAGAAATCAAAAGTATAATATGTGATATAAAATAATCATCAATTACATTAATCTTTTCATAAAGTTTTAACGGACTAAATCACTCAAACAAAACAAAAAAAGTTTAAAATAATTAAATGCCTCTAGAAAAAAAAAGAGATAGAATTAATTGTACATAAAATAACAGATTAATTTAACCATTTGTATAACCATAATATTATACATTGACATTACTATTTAATATTTATTTATACAAAAAATATTGTATTTTATTAAATTTAATATGAGTTTAAAAGTATTATATTATCAGTGTAAAATATTTTACATAGTCAATACATTATAATCTTTAAAAAATATATTTTTATATGTGATTTAATGAAAAAGACAAATTTCTATAAAAATTAATAATTATAATTTCACTGACTGTATAAAACTGTTTTACATTGTCAGTGTCTTTCTATTAAATAATTAAAGATAAATTAAAAATATCAAAAAATTTACCTATACGAACGCACAAATCTTCAACTAACTTTTTAATTATATTATTAATATCTTTAACATGTATTTCAGCCATCTCACAATAAGTGTCTTCTTTCTTATTTTTATTTTTATGTCAAATTATTTATCGCTTTAAAATATTAATATAATATTTATTATTTATTTCTATTAATTTATTCTTATTAATCATATTTTAATTCATATAACTACTTTACTATTTATTATTAATACAATTATTTTAATAAATGATTTTTATTTTATCATTGAAATTAATATAACTAATTTTTATCTTAAAAAATATAAAAAATTCAAAGGGAACATTTATTGTGAAATAGAATAAATATTTTTAAAACACATGTTAACCTGACCTTTAAAATAAACACTATAATCAAGCAGGGTACTTGACGTTTTACGTCAAAACAAGAGATGACAACTCAGCTTTATCTACCTTATTATTTTTTTCCTTTTAAAAAACCACTAGAACCATCTTATTCTTTTTTTATTTTTGGCTTCACAATAAAAAAGTGTAGAAGTTTCTTGGATTGCGAAGAGCCGTGAAAGTTATCTATCTCTATCTTTACATTCACGGTGTTAATACTTCCATTCGATCCGCATCATCATCAAAATTCTATTATTATTATTAATCAAACCCAAAATCCTCTTTCTCGCGGAACTTTCTCGACAATTAGACGTAACTAACGCAGTACCTTCTCGTTCCTTCCTTTCTTTATTTTTCTCTCACTTTCTCTCTCTTTCCTCATCCTTTTATTCTCAACCGAACCTTCTAGAATCACCACAATAACATAACCCCTCTACCTCTCTCTATCTATCTCTCTCTCCTCAACCTAACAACACTCGCCGGCTATTATTTTTCGTCATGGTTCCGCCTCCACCACCGGTGGATAACGGCGAATCCACCACAGCTGTTACAATTACAACCCCCGCTGTAGAATCTCAGAGATCTATTCCGAAGCCGTTTCTCACCAAAACCTATAACCTAGTTGAGGATAAATCCATCGACGACGTTATTTCATGGAACGAAGATGGATCCACCTTCATCGTTTGGAACCCTACCGTTTTCGCTAGTAATTTGCTTCCAAAATATTTCAAACACAATAATTTCTCAAGCTTCGTTCGTCAACTCAATACTTATGTAATTCAATTCATTCTCTGATTCTTTTTCATTAATAGTTAATTCTCCAATTTGATATTTGATATATTAATTTTGTTTTATGTGATTATGGATTTGCAGGGATTTAGAAAAGTAGTACCTGATCGCTGGGAATTCTCTAACGATTGCTTTCGAAGAGGAGAGAGACGGCTTCTAAGCGAGATTCAACGCCGGAAAATCTGTTCTGCGGTCACGACGTCTGTTTCTGCTGTTACGGCGGCGGTGGAGGCCGCGACGGTAGCAGTTCCTTCACCTATGCCGCTGACTGTAATACCTATGGCGATGCCGATAGTTTCGCCATCAAACTCGGGTGAAGAACAGGTGATATCATCGAGTTCGTCTCCGACTCGAGCGCCATCAGAGCTTCTTGACGAGAACGAGAGATTGAGAAAAGAGAATGTTATCCTGAACAAGGAACTTGCTGAGATGAGATTGCTTTGCAACAATATATACACTCTCATGTCAAGTTATGGAAACAACAACAACAATAGCAATAACAATAGCAGCAGTAATAATAATAATAATAATCAAACGGACGGTGGCGCGCAAGGAAGCAGAGAGTCCGGTATGACGGCGGCGAAGCCGTTGGATTTGATGCCGGCGGTGAAACGGAGCTCCGGGATGGAAGAGATGAATCCGAAGCTGTTTGGTGTTGCTATTGGAACGAAGCGAGCGAGAGAAAACGGTTGTGAAAGTGGAAGAGATGATACACTATTGCGGCTACATCAACCAGGTTCTATGGACGTGAAATCAGAGCCGTTGGATTGTCAGGATAGTGATCAAACGCCGTGGTTGAACCGGTGTAGTAGAGGGAATGAGAGTTTATGTAAATGACACCTGGCGGTTTAGTATGGAGAGATAACTCTTGATGGTTAGATTAGATAGTTAATGGTTATAGGGAATCTCACGCGAAGGTGCACCTGATAATCTGTCACGTGTGTCGTTTAACCGTGGGGGACCGATTCTCAGTAGATACTATTTTGTCATTTTCTTTATATTTTCAATTTTTAGGGGTAGTTTTTTTGTCATGTATATTTAACTTTGTTGGAAGTATTTAGAATGTTATTTTATTTTATTCCATGATTGTTTTTGAAATTATCGGGTTTTTAAATAAATAAAAGTAAAAAAAAAGTGAATATGAAAAAATTATTTAAATAATTAAATTTTAGAAAAGTTTTATAAAGAGGAGTTAAGTGAGATGATGTTAAATTATAAATTTTTATATTTTTATATATATGTGTTAAATGAAATGACGCTTAAGTGCATTTCAATTTCTATAAATCATCTCATATGACATTTAAGTATAAATATGAGATATTTTTTAATTTTTTAAAAAATAAATAAATAAATTTGTTGCAAACGAGCTTTTGATTTTCACTCGTAGTAATATAAGTACATAATAGAAAAAACAATAGATATTATATAGCCGTTTTTAATTTTCACTCGTAATAATATAAGTACATAATAAAAAAAACAATAGATATTATATAGCCGTTGACGTCATATTTGGTCAATGGTTCTGCACGAGCGTCTATGATCTTGGTTGTGGTTGGGTCAACGGTCTTGCGTAATTTTGTCGTATATTTTAATAACACAACAAAATATTTAAAAAATTATAATCGTTAAAACAATTTCATTAAGTCCATACATCATGTGCATTACATCTGTGTCTGTTTTAACTTCCTCTAATCAAAAGCGAAGTTTTCCAATTACGAAGTTCATGTCGGTTCTTCTTCTCTAGATTATTCTAATTTGTTCGCCCGGTTGAATGTTTCGGTCTAATCATCTTTTCAACTCTCTCTTAAGACGTTTCATAGAATGAATGTGCTAAAATTTTATTTTCATCTTGAATTTTGTAACTGAGTAACAAACATATTCATCTTTTGTGAAAATGATTTCAGATGTCATGGTGAAAGAATTAGAGAGAAAGTGAGAAGATGTGTGAAAAATGGTGGAGAAATGAGGAGAAATGATGAGTTTTAGTTATAGAAAATACAAGTACACATAGGAGTCATTGTAGATGGCGTCTCCTCTCAAATTTATAGAGCAGGAACCAAGCCATGTGGTGCTTCCATAGTGCATGCGCTATCTCAGATGGCTCCTACATATTACTTTTAAAATATGTGTTATCTGAGATGACTCCTCCTTATAGATATTTTCTGAAACTTGGTTATTCAAATAATTTTTTTCAAAACGTGATTATTTGCGTATTTTTTTCAATACCTGATTATTTCAAAAAAATTCAAACAAATGCATTACTTTATTTCGAAAAGATGTTTTAGTGGTATTATATTCTTCTCCTCCTAATTAATTTCATTTTCGAAATTATGTCGATTCTAAATCCATTATAATTCAATTGCATTACTTTCTTAAATTACCTTTCCTCTTTTTAATATTTATACTAATAAATAGATTAATCCTTAATTAATAAATGTTATTGGGGGATATACTAGGAGTATCGATACATAGTGTAGGAGTAAGCACTTTTGTGAGAGACACACTACTTATCCACCTAAAATCTTAAGGTGATAGGTGAGTGGGTTCTCCCACTTATATATGCTTAAATCTCCACATTCTTATCTAATGTGAGACTATTTCTCCACTTACTCACACTTGTTATATTATTTCAACACTCCTCCTCAAGTGTGAGTCTACAATACTCCCTCACTTGTACCGCCATTGATATCTTGCAACGGAACATCACTTCCTGGACGCATTTCGATACAAGTCTCTTGGTCCCTTTCTCAAACCAAGGCTCATGATACCATGTTGGGGAGAGATACTAGGAGCATCGATACATAGTATAGGAAAAAGCACATTTGTGAGAGATACACCACTTATCCACCTAAAATCTTAAAGTGACAAGTGAGTGGGTTGTCCCACTTATATATGCTTACGTCTCCACATTTCTATCCAATATGGGACTATTTCTCCACTTACTCACACTTGCTATATTATTTCAACAAATCTATCAAATAAATTAACTTTTACATCTCTAATTATATTACACACGTGTGCTTGCGAGTTCAATCACACTACATCTTTCATTTACTTCTCTTATTGTATACTAAGTTTTAATTTCAAATGTAATTTAATACTCAATTTTTTCCTTTTTGTTTATTTCTCACACTTTTTACACCTCTCTTATGTTCTCTCTTCTTTCTTTTCCCCTCAAATCCTAACACCGCCGCCACCTCATATTTACGACCACCATCACCTCCAATAAAAAATCAAAGTCATATTTGTACTCCTCATGTCACTGTCTTTCTAATAAATTAGTTGAAATTTTGTTTTGAATATCTTTGTTGTCGACAATCATTTCTCCATCTTTGATTGATTTGTGAAAGAGACCAATGGTTCTCCTTCTCTGACCCATTTACATTTCTATTAACATAAAAAAGGTTAGGTATTTGGCCTTTTCACTAAAAAAATCAACTTCTCTGAATTTTGTTGTTATTGTTTATGTTTTTTCATCTACATAATTGTGTTTACAAAGTGATTAAAAAATTGTTGTTCTTAATGATTAGAAGATTCTTTTTGAGTTTAACTTATTATTTATGTGTATGGAATCTTTTATATTTTTTGGATCTTTTGTTCTTTGAGTGTTTATCAAGTTCAAAGAGATCCAGAAAAGTAGAAAGTAACCTTTTTAGAAAGTGTGGATGTTGCAATATTGATCAAGAAGCTTTTAAGATCATGAAAATATGTTGAAGATCTTTTATATTTTGTTAACTTATCATCATATATTGCTTTAGTTTTGGTCTTACCGGTTGATCAGAACCTGTAGGGTGGTCGGATGATGATCTTCTGTCGGGCTGGAATATCGAGGAGGAAAAAAGGGGTTGTACCTACAAGGCACTTTGACGACAAGTAAGTGTGAGAGCAAAGAGATACAAGTAAAATATTAGGGTTTTAGTGGTGAATAATGAATATTTGATACATGGCCCTCACATGTGTGAGGGTTTATATAGTGTCCATGGTGCTTGGCCATTGGTTCTTATTTTTGGGCCTAGATATGCGGGTCCACAAAATAAGTAACTTTCAGGACTTGGTCAAACAGGGTAGGTGTGCCCGTAATTAGCTGTTGGTCCCGAGGAGGAGGTAGGTTACGTGAGTGGTATAGTTAGTTCCTGGTTGTCTGACCGACTTGAGGTTAGGCAGACTGAGAGACACTCATTAGATGTCGCAGGTCAGTGCCGGTCCAGGAGGGGGCAAATAAATGATGGTGCCTAACGGAGGGCGGGGAAACCCGGGCTACGGTCGTACGGGCCGACCTAAAGGAGGAGGTTAGGCTGGGTTAACTCTAGCTGTCAGGGCAGTCCAGAACAGTAGCCTCTCAAGTCGTTGCTTATGGGCATAAGAGTGATGACTTTAACACCTGCTTGTGCGATGGGGCGCTTCCTACGGGAGCATGAGCGTCGCCCGTTGCGCCTTTCTCGCAGAGAGATGATGAGTTGGTTATTTTGAGCTTCGAAAATTGAAGAGGTAGCGTGTTTCCGGTAATGCACTGACGAAGCGGAGCAATGATGGTCTATGGGCTAGGGAGCAATAATGATGATCTTATGGTTCCCTAGGCGTGTGTCTCTAACGCGCAGACGATTTCAGCTATAAATACGAGAGGGGTATGGTATTATGTACTTTTCGTTCTTTACTTGCATTTCTCGTTACTGCTCGTCTGTCGAACTCCACTATTTCTTGAAGATTAATTGTCTGCTGCCACTCTTTTCAACTTTCTTTCTTCTTTAACTGGTAGGATTTCATTTTTTGTTGTTATTTGGCTATTGTAGCTTAGATTTTCACGATTTTTGCCTTAGAAATACATGCGGTTAGGCTTAGGATCTTGTCTATTAGGGCATTTTTAGGAGAGTGTTGGTGGCGGACGGTGGTTCTGTAGTTTAGGAATGTCAGAGACACCGTGGGTTTTCCCTTGGTATTTTCACGACGTATCATAAATGATCCTTGAGGACCTAGGTCATTTTTGTTGGCTGGAGTTTGTCTTGTTGAGAAAGGCGTTTGTTTGTTCAGATGCACTAGTGAGGGTTCTGGTCGGGGGCATGATCCTTGTTTATCAGCGCCCTTTCACTTGATCAATGGTGGAAGGGTGGTTTTGGAATTAACTTTGAACTCACCTCTATCCTTTTCTTTTCGGGTACTATGGCCGATAATGTTGGAGACGATCTTTCAGATGGACAAACTGGATCCTCCCAGAGCTCCATGAATGACACTTGCAGTATGTTGAGCATCATGGATATATCCAGGGATGAGCCCAATAAGTATGATTAGCACTTAGAGAGAGAGAGGCCGTGGAGATGGTGCCCGTTGATTAGGGTGACCTATTTCCTCCTGAGGACGACGAGGACCCGCGGACCTGGGTCACAAAGACCCTTGGGATTAGGTTTCCTATTTATTCGAGCATCGCAATGAGATTTTCACCAAAGTGTACGCGTACGAGAATGGAGGTCGGGGGAGTGGTCGCTTTGGATCCTGTTGCGACTGGTTTTTTTATCAGAGTAGCCACTATTAGTTTTTATCCTAGAGAAGGGAATCTAACAGAAAACCTTAATTTGCTGACAGAGATTCCAGGTCTCAGGCTTCTTTAGACGAAAGGAAGGTGATAGAAACCTTTCATCTACCTTCTTCACAAGGATATTAGGTTTTAGGGTTAGGTTTGGGTAAAATAGGGGTTTTAAGTTTTAATAGGGGAAAGAGTTTGTTTTTTTTAAGGAGAACTCACTACGATTTTTCATCGTATGCCTACGTATCCTCTTAAGAGGAATCAAAGTCTCAATTCGTAGTTCGTACGGGGTTGGTGTTTTTTAGGGGTCACAAACGTA